GCCCTGGAGAGTGAGCCAGGTAACTCCGGATCGGTGTCGGGGTGGGTGGGTTTCTGTATTAATACACTCTTCTTGCCAACATCCTGGCGTGGGAACAAGCTGTGGTGTCACAGGGAAATAATGGGCTTTGGAACAAGTATAAATAACGTCAGTCGATCTCCTGGGACTTGCCGGACAGAGGGGTGGGGTTGGCAATGCTACGGTCAAGTGGCTCCTGATAACAAAGAAAACATCTTTGTGTACAGCAGCGCCAGCCGGGCCTGCCCACGTCGGTGGACAGTGTTTCCAGGTGAAAGGTGGCCCCATGAAACACCACACATGGACAAAAAACAACAGGAGTGATCTTGTTTGCCATTTGGGTCAGTTCATATAGTATTACATAGGCAACAAGCTTGCCCGCAGGGTAGCCTAATGGCACAAACAAGGCTGATTTTAAGCCAGCTGAGATTTCTCAGTCCTTGCAGCCATTTGTATCGGCAATGCGGCGCACCATGTCTGGGGACACAGCTCTCTTCTAAACGGGCTTTTCTTGAGTTGCCTTCTCTCTCGTTTAACACAGGGGATGGAAGTGGAAACTGATCAGCGTGACCAAGGAAGGAGAATAGTGCGGAAGCCCTACGTGGTGAACGGTCAGTGTTGCTGTTCTCCTCCCCAGGGCTTGCAGCCATTTGTATCGGCAATGCGGCGCACCATGTCTGGGGACACAGCTCTCTTCTAAACGGGCTTTTCTTGAGTTGCCTTCTCTCTCGTTTAACACAGGGGATGGAAGTGGAAACTGATCAGCGTGACCAAGGAAGGAGAATAGTGCGGAAGCCCTACGTGGTGAACGGTCAGTGTTGCTGTTCTCCTCCCCAGGGAGCACTTCACCACCTCCAGCCCTAGCAGGTTTCTGTGCCACTGCCATTACAATTGGGGTTCTCCCAGGGCCCTGTGGGTTATTTTGTCTCTCATCTTTGTGCTGCCAGACTGTCCTTAGTTGCTGTGCTGTGCCAGGGACAGGTAGGGCTGTTAATGCTTGTCCAGGCTTTTGTGATTGTAGAGGAGTACCCCCCGGCAGCAGTCAGCTGGGGGTTCTCAGCCCGAGCTGAGCCAGGACGGCAGCTCTGCCATTCCCGTGTATCCTCTGTCTCATGAATTTCTTTTTCCCTCCTGTGCTGCCTTTTCTGCAGTATTTCTACCTGCAGCCTCAAGAGGGCTCTTTTCATTCAGAAACGTGCTGATGTGTGGCACCTGGGTGACAAGAAACCACGTGTGTTTTAGCGGTGGGCTGGGCAGCTCTGAAGAGTCGCTCTTTGCAGCCTGAGCAGAAAGGCTCCACTCCTTGTGGCGTGAGCTGGAGAGGAGCCTACACGGAGGGTTGTTGTCATGTTTGTTTTCATGCATGATTGCAGCACTGTGTGCAAGCAGTGGAGCTGTGCTGGAGGAGTGACCTCCTTTCTGCAGTACTGGCAGGGCTTGGTCTTGGGAGGAGGCTGGGAACCTCTGAGGTGCTGCTTTCTTCCCTCCCCTGCTTCATGGAGTCTCTGTCCTCTGCCTAGAAATGGAATATGAGGCCAGTCTCCCCGAGAAGAAGTCAAATACACTCTCCCGAGACCTCATTGACTATGTGCGGTACATGATACAGAACCATGGGGAGAACTACAAGGTGAGTACTGGCTGTCCAAGAGCAAGGAGCACCTGGAGTGATTCACTCCTGGACCTTCTGCAGGATGAGAGTGGCTAATCGTCTGCCCTGGATCCTGTTTTGCAGTCAGCTGATTGTTAAGAGGAAGCAGCACTTTGAACCTTGGCCAGAACCCTGCCTGAGTCAGGCAGCAATCACAGCCGGCCTGGGTGGGCCTTTGGAGTGTGGCTGCGCTAGTTTGGTGTTTGCTTTATGGGCCACTCCTCTGATTTACCCTCTCCTTTGTCACAGGAAATGGCTCGAGATGAGAAGAACTACTACCAAGATACTCCCAAGCAGATTAAAAGAAAGATCAACGTGTACAAGAATTTCTATCCTGAGGAGTACAAGGATTTCATTGCATCACTCAAGCAGGAAAAGATGGACGTACAGTGACTGCTCTTTTCTCGTGAGTTTGCCTCTAAGTGCAGGCTTGGTGTGACCATTTTTTGTGCTGAGTGAGGACTGACAGAGCGAGGTGACAGTCACTCACAGGCTCAGTGCCTGCAAGCTGAGCTATGCAAAGCCTCTGACAATGGAGGAAGGACCTTCATTAGACAGAGGAAGTTATAACCAGGCATGAAAAACTCTTGGCTATGGCTTGTGGCATTGGGACTGAATGCGATGCTGCTCCCTTTATGTGTGGCAGCCAGAACTTCTTTTGATAAAATAAATTACTCTTTCAAGCTGATGTGTGAATGTCTTGCTCAGAGTCTCTCGCTTTGCGCAGTCCTGCTTCGGAGAGCTCCAGGTGCTGACCTGCAGGCACATTGGGCACGTCACCCTCTGCAGCAGCAGGGCTGGGGCCTGTGGTGTGGGCAACACGTGGGCCTTTGTTGATTTTCCTGTAGGCAGCAGAGGTTGGAGCGAGGCCACATGCTGTTTCCTTCCCCTGCGAGCGACCTTCCTCCCCAACCTTCCTCCCCACAGCTTGGGACACTGGGCTGGCAGTCTCTTCCCTGCCAAGGAGCCAGAGATCAGAGCTGAGTGACCAGACTCTTTTATTGTTAAAAGGGAAGGAGAGGCTGTACAAAAGGTGTTGCAACAGAGACTGACCAGGGTGTACTCCCTTTGCCCAGTGTGACCCCCAGCTCCCACGACTGGTTTTCCAGCACCCAGCAGCCTCCTGCCTGCAGGCAGGGATTCCTGCAGTCCCTGAGCTTGGCTCCTTCCCCTTCTCCCTGAGGCAGCTGAGAGGGAGGGAAACCAGGCAGGGGGGCAAACGCCTGCTGAGCACAGCTCCTACCCCTGCTCAGGGGGAAGGGGCAGTGCAGGGCTGCCTGATACCTGCCTTTGTCTCCAAAGCAAGGCTTTAAATACAGACTGGGGGGAATTGAGAGCTGTGCTCAGTCCCAGTGAGGGACATCCTGAGCTGGTTATTCCCACTGGTGTGCACGGTACGGGCAGGCCTGTGCCAGCAGTAACCCCTCACGTTTTCAAGGAAGGAGAGCCCATCTCCTGGGATGACCTGTCCGTGCCGGCAGATGAGAGGGCTACCTCACTTGTTCAGCCCCATTCATTTAATACCCTGCAGGGCTGCTGTGAAGGTCTGGGGCCCTGCCCTGTGCTGCATGTTTCTGCTCATCAGAAGCTAAGAGCTATGCTTATGCCTCCATCCCAAGGGATATTTCGTCCCTGAGCTGGAAGAGGCAGCTGCCCTCTCCCATCAGCAAAGAGCAGGGCCTGCTGCTTGTGTTCCCTGAGGGCAGCCGTGCTGCAGCTCCACCCCAAACCTTGTGTCATGCAGTGAACACCCCAGGGCCAGGAGCCTGTTACCAGCAAGTCCGAGCTCCAGTGGCAGCTGCCCGGCTGCCTCCATCCTTGCGCCACGGACCCTGAAGAGGAGCTGTGCCAGGGGTGGGAGCCTGTCCAACCTCTGTGCGGGCTCAGGGCTGGGACAGCAGGGTGACCAGTAGGTCCTTCACGCGGAGGACACTGGTGGCAGTGCTCAAGCTGGCCCAGGTCGCACTGGTGGGCAGGAGGAAGAGCTCCCGCTGTCTGCTGAGTGTGTGCAGGGCCAGCTCCTCCCACAGCTCTGCCATGCTCAGGGCATCGCTCTTGTCCTGCAATGGAGAGAGGTGGATGCTCAGGGTGGGAGCAGTGCCAGGAGGGCTGGGAGGAGCCACATCCTGCCCATGATGTGCAGGCAGGGCTGTCTCTTGCATTCGAATTGCTTTGGCGCAAGCTAATGGGGAGCAGCACCAGGCATGCGCTTTGTTGCCTGCCTGGAAAATGCATTTCCCCATTGGGATTTTGCGTGCTGCCATCTGGGTCCTCTCCTGAAACTTGTTAGCCTTGACACCGGTAACATCAGTCACGCCTCCTGGTGAAGACTGGAGGAGACAGGCCCCAAGGAATCAGATTTTGCAAGAACTGGTGGATTTGGGATATCAGGATTTCCCCTCAGGGCCCTAGGGAGGAGCAGTTTCTGCAGGTAACAACCCCTGGGGCATCTGCGAGGGCAGACAGACACCCACCTGCTTGTTGGCCAACACCACCAGGGGCAGCTGGGGCTCCGCAGCCAGCAGTGCGTGCAGCTCCTGGCGTGCCGTCAGCAGGCGCGACCTGTCCACCGAGTCCACCACGAACACCAGGACGTGGGCCTGGCTCAGGTAGAGGGGCCAGTACGCTCGCAGGTTCTGGCTGCCACCCACTGCAGGACACAGGCAGGATCAGGCACCGGCATGGGGGAGGGCAGGGCTGCTGCCTGCCCCTAGCACCC